AGTTCTACAGACTTCATATACATGGTAACTTCTGTGTTCAAGTTCTCGAGTTGGCCAAGGTTGGCATGTTGCATTCTGCATATGGGCAGACCTCTTTGGTCGAAAGGTTCTCTCTTAGGACCCTGGGTCTCACACTTGCCACTTTCTTGAACTTTAAACCATCTACTGAAGAACGTAGCTCCTTGGTTTCAGCTTGGGGACGTTGTTTTCCTTTGTGGTCTAGTCAGGCGCTTCTCTTCAGCGAGCCTTTTCCAAATCTGAACCTGAACGAAAACTCGCAGTTGGTTGGTTGGTTGGTTTGTTGGTTTACGCCGCACTCATCAATATTCCGCTATATGATGACGGTCTGTAAATAATCGAGTCTGGACCAGACAATCCAGTGATTGATATCATGAACATTGATCAACGCAATTGGGATACGATGACATGCATCAACCAAGTCAGCGAGCCTGACCACCCGATCCCGCTGGTCGCCTCTTACCACAAGCATAGTCGCCTGTTATGGCAAGCATTGGTTGCCGAAGACCTATTCTACCCCAGATCTTCACAACTCGCAGTTGAGTATACGGCCCGCAGACTTTTCTCCCTTCTCGCGGACTTCTAACCTGTCCATTTCAATAGAGCGTTGACCTTTCGAGTAAAAAGGTTCCTAGTTTATCTGCAACAACCTTCGGGAAGACTTTCCCCTAACAATTCACGCTGGGGTCGTGTCACGAGTTGGAATACTTTGAACAGTCTTTCCCCTAACAATTCACGCTGGGGTCGTGTCACGAGTTGGAATACTTTGAACAGTCTTTCCCCTAACAATTCACGCTGGGGTCGTGTCACGAGTTGGAATACTTTGAACAGTCTTTCCCCTAACAATTCACGCTGGGGTCGTGTCACGAGTTGGAATACTTTGAACAGTCTTTCCCCTAACAATTCACGCTGGGGTCGTGTCACGAGTTGGAATACTTTGAACAGTCTTTCCCCTAACAATTCACGCTGGGGCCGTGTCTCGAGTTGGAATACTTTGAACAGTCTTTCCCTTCACAATTCACGCTGGGGCCGTGTCACGAGTTGGAATACTTTGAACAGTCTTTCCCCTAACAATTCAGGTTGGGGTCGTGTCACGAGTTGGAATACTTTGAACAGTCTTTCCCCTAACAATTCACGCTGGGGTCGTGTCACGAGTTGGAATACTTTGAACAGTCTTTCCCCTAACAATTCACGCTGGGGTCGTGTCACGAGTTGGAATACTTTGAACAGTCTTTCCCCTAACAATTCACGCTGGGGTCGTGTCACGAGTTGGAATACTTTGAACAGTCTTTCCCCTAACAATTCACGCTGGGGTCGTGTCACGAGTTGGAATACTTTGAACAGTCTTTCCCTTCACAATTCACGCTGGGGCCGTGTCACGAGTTGGAATACTTTGAACAGTCTTTCCCCTAACAATTCACGCTGGGGTCGTGTCACGAGTTGGAATACTTTGAACAGTCTTTCCCCTAACAATTCAGGTTGGGGTCGTGTCACGAGTTGGAATACTTTGAACAGTCTTTCCCCTAACAATTCACGCTGGGGTCGTGTCACGAGTTGGAATACTTTGAACAGTCTTTCCCCTAACAATTCACGCTGGGGCCGTGTCACGAGTTGGAATACTTTGAACAGTCTTTCCCCTAACAATTCACGCTGGGGTCGTGTCACGAGTTGGAATACTTTTAACAGTCTTTCCCCTAACAATTCACGCTGGGGTCGTGTCACGAGTTGGAATAATTAAATATTGCCAACCAAGATTACTGTTCATTCGTCTCAATGCGCTCTGCGTCAGAGTATTACACTGCAAATAAAGTATGTGAGGGGGGTCACAAAACGCCGCTCTCTCCCGACTGTCAGACGCTGTCACCCACTGTGATTCTGTACGACATGCGATCTTTCAACAAGGGAAGTGAACGTATTCTACTGCAAGAGGTAAGTTTGCAAACATCGTTTCAGTGTAGCATATTGCTATTTTTCTCGAGTTCAACTCATGTTAATCCAAAACCTTTTCAATGCTGTAAAGCGGATACCTCAGAGACCTTTATGGCGAAATATCCGCTAGGGCTGGGACGGGTAACTCGGGTACTCGGGTGGGGTGGGTCCCGAGTAAGACCCGGGTACCCCCAGGACTACCCCGACCCGTGGTTAGTCACGTGACCTACTGTTTAATGACATTAACAATAAAACTCAATGGTTACACTACAAGTATAGTTAATGTTCACATTTCTTTCTCACTATACAGGCATGCGTTCTGACTTTTATATGATCAGATAGTTTTATAGTATATCAAAGTAGTTTTTGCCAGGGCTGTGGTAAAACAATTCCCATTCAAACATTTTGTACCCAACGCTTGAGACCTATAGCTGGTGTCCGGGTAGGGCCGGGTAATTGGGTGTCGGGTACCCGGGTAATAAATTTGGACTTTTGTGACTTTTACATAGTTCATTAAAGAATACTTTTACGAAGCATGAAATTTCAATATATAGCACCGAAAGACCACAACCCTCAACAACCCATTGAAGGCTTTCCAATCCACGTATCAAACAAGTTTTGCTGGTGAACGCTTTCCGAAAATATAGTTAAGTTGTGTAGCTTCCGAAACTGTTAACATTGTGTAACGTAACACATTTTGAAGTCTTATATTGCAAAAACTTCCATGTATGAATGTAGAACTTTGCTTAGGAACTTCACCAGCCGGGTACGGTTAGGCAGGGGAGTACATTTCTTGGTTGATGTTTACGATTCAGGTCAATTCCAGGAGGGTGACGGGTGAGGTGCGTCCCATCCAAGATCATTGCACTTATATAGCGACGTGCATGCACGTGTGTGTGTGTTGCAGCTTGTACTAGTTCAGACTTGTGCTGATTTATAGTGCTAGCACACTGAGGTACCATGCCGCAGTTTAACATGAATACCCCACTCAGACAAAGTATACTGACTCCGAGCCGACCAGTCGTTGTTTTAGCCCCTTAATGCTGAGCGCCAGACAGGGTATCGACAATTACCATCTTTTAACATCTTGTGGAATGACACGGATGGCGATCGAACCCCGGACCTTCTGCTCTCCAGGCGCACCTCTACCAGTAGACCATTGAAAATCGTGTCAGCTCTTCATTGACTAGTATACATTTCACCAGTATACTTCCAACAAATGGTTACTTTAGAAACAGTCCAATAAATGTATATTTCTGCAGTATCTGTGCCACCACAAACCCAGCAGCCTTATCCCGGATGAATCTGTTCCTGGTGGTTAAGTCACTGGATGCCAGAGAGACATATATGTCCCTCCTCGTCAACCCTCACTTTGAAGTCGAAAAAATTCAAAATGTGTCCTTCACACAAACACTTCAGTCTTGAATTCTGTGGGAAATTCCCTGTTCTGTGACATCATAGTGAGTGAGTTGGGTTTAACGCCGCTTTTAACAGTATTCCAGTTATATCGCGGCGTGTCAGCTTAATGTGGGAGGAAAGCTCGAAGTGATGCAGGTCTCAGACGTTTACCACTTCGGTGAAACCCACGAGCACGGGTATGGTGCTGAAAAACCTAGAAACATAATCGGGGTGAACCGAGATTCGAACCCACAATCATAGGTTTCTGGCGTGCCAAGGGACGCAATTCTGCACAGCGAATCGCGGCGCCTTAGACAACTCGGCCACCCGTGCCCCCCTGTGATATCATAAACTGTCTCTTTAAGCAAAGCAAAATAACTGTAAATGACAGATTAGGTACAATGTAAATCTCGCCATATTAGATACATTACTAAATCCCCATTAACGGCATCAAGGGGGTTAAAGTGGTCTAAACCATCACTCCTAACTGGGGTTCACAAAAAACAAACTCATACTTCAGTTTTATTTTCATCATTTTATGCCAATAATGACTTGCAACATGTGGTACAATCAACCACTGGTTATTTCATTATTCATTACTGCCACGGACTGATTCCAGTAAACTGACCTTACAGCGTTACATTGTACACATATTTTTTAAAAATATGACAATCATTTTCTAAACCACAACACACAAACGACCAATTGCTGAGAAGACCGCAGCAATAGGGCCCCGTTCCACAAAGCGATCTTAGTGCTAAGACTGCTGTAAGTCTGTGTTAAAGTATGGGTGTTACGATCATCTAAGCGCTACGATGGCTTTGAGGAACGGACCCTGGTCTCGTGTCAATCATCCTGAAACAGCCCAGGCAGTGATGAAGTTGTATTTCAATATCAAACAGTTTCTTAGCAAAAATAAACCTGCAACCTGCAAGTTACTGACTATGAACTTTATGAACCTGATTACATAGATGAACCAGCTCCCTACCAGAGGGAGACAACCAACAATATGTGGTAACCATGGAAACAGCTGACACTCCAGGCATATACTGACAATCATCATATTCACACGGCGCCACAATAAACTTCACGTTCAGCTTCACAAAGGGATGGTAACTGATAGTGTCGATATTTTCTTTAGCTGTTTATCTTGACATACACTTTGTATTCAGAACAAGGAAAACGTTCCTAATTGACAGTTGTCATATTGTTAAGCTGTTTATTTTGACGCCATATGTATGTAGTGAAAATAATAAAGTTCAAAACATCGAACTCCCCTCCACTGAAGTAATAATGTGTATTTACATTACAAACAGGATCATGAGTCTATACGTCGTCATGTTGATGACTGCAACCTATCAGATAATTGACTCCCTCCCTCCCATTTGCTTAAGAATTTTTTTGGGTTTACGGATTTTAAACTGAAAAAATATAAGAAATAAAATGGATTGTACATTTTTGTAATCATCTTAAATTCTGATTTTGATTGTTAGCTGTTTAAGAAAATCAAAAAATCTTGGACTGGTTTGTGTCCTCATAAATATTCTAAACCTAAAATCTGACAATTCATTGTCATTTTTATTGTGAAAGCGATATTTCCCGTTGGCGGTAAAACATACCTTGTAATTCTGAATTTTTTTAATATTTTTTTTTACTTTTTAAGGTCAGTTTATCCGTAAACCAAGCAAAGAAATATAAGGCCTAAATATGAATATATGTCAGAATTATGCAGTTGTGGACAGAGTAAAAATAACATGCATTTCTTCCAAAATATGATTTTAAAATTTAAAGAAAATATCAGGGTTTAACACAGTTTTGCAGTTGGCCGAAAGGAACATTACCAAAGAAAGCTCAAAGATACCACTCTCCGAAACAGAGGTCAAACCCTGAATATGTGTATATTGAGAAAATGTTAGTCTGATTTTTCTGTTTCATTGACAAGGTAACTCTTAGCACATTCAAATATGCAAAAAGTCAGAGCATATCAGTCTAATGTTTTTTCCTATGTTTCACAAATATTGGACAGTTTGGACAGAAGCCTCCCACAGATGTATAATCGTTAGGGACAACAACATATTCACATTCATATCCTATGCTAAGACTTGTATCAACTTAAGTGATATCCGTCCTAACTTCATATTCTACATAACTTTATATCCTGTCAAACTCCATAGATTTTATAGTATACAACTTCTATAACTACCAGGCATAACATTGTATCCTTCACTGCATATCTGTTATAACTTCCTACCCTTTATAACTTCGTATCCCACATTCTAATTTCCTAACAGTCATATCATTGTATACTTTACTGCATATCCGTTATAACATATCCATTACAACTTCGTATGCCACATTCTAATTTCCTATCAGTCATATCATTGTATACTTTACTGCATATCCGTTATAACATATCCATTACAACTTCGTATCCCACATTCAAATTTCCTATCAGTCATATCATTGTATACTTTACTGCATATCCGTTATAACATTTCCATTATAACTTCGTATCCCACTTTCAAATTTCCTATCAGTCATATCATTGCATACTTTTCTGCATATCCGTTATAACTGCCTACCCTTTATAACTTCGTATCCCACATTCAAATTTCCTATCAGTCATATCATTGTATACGTTACTGCATATCCGTTATAACATATCCATTATAACTTCGTATACCCGATATCTTTATAGCCTATATAACTATATATCCTACATAACCACATATCCATTACAACAACATATGTTTCAAGTAGACATCCGTCTACTAGTCCCATGAACTAGACAACTAGTCCCATAAAGAGGACATCTGTGATACCTTGTAGACTAGTCTTACATTACATTGTAATATTAACCTGCTTCATTTCAACAACATATTATGCAACTAAATCATAACCATGGTAACAGTCTTAATTTAGAAAACAGATTATCTTGGAGCGCATTTAGAAATTGTAACACAAAGGAGGAGATGTAATTATACGGATAAGTAATGTTGTAATAAATAGCAGATTATCCAAAAGAACTTATCCTTGTTTGGCCTTTCACTAGTTACAGCTTCTGAAAGGGGTACTGGAAACCTTTATCCAGAGAGAATTTAAAGCATTATTAATGTTATGATTTGAAATTGTAGATAATGAAATGAAAACATTTGTCACTTAAAAAAACTAGTTATGGATGAATGTAAAATGGCTGACTTGAATTAGACATATGGGGGTTATATTTCAACAACGGCACAACCAGTATTTGTGTCTATTTACAGTGTGTACATGGCAGTGGAAAAATAAATAACTACCCCCTGTCTTGTGATCCAGGAATTGGTCCTAAAACTAAACAAACAAACAGGGTCTTGTATCCACAAACTATTTTTCAGTCAATATGAAAAAAAAAAAAAAAAAAAAAAAAAAAAGGAAAAAAAATCAAAAGGGCTTGTAAATGCACATGAAAACCAACATGCATAACCAAGTTTGCAAAAGAATAAAACAAACATTTGATTGTTTTACAAAACAGACCAACCCTGGATCACATAACAGTTAAAAGTGCCTCTTCAAAACCAGACTTGTATTAATTCCATACCAACAGACATTGCAGGTCTCCATGGCAACCTGTCCTTTCACATCCTATACAAACATCCTTGTACACTGAAACCACACTCTGACCAAAGCAGAGACGACAGAGTCTGACCAACCTACAAGTCTGGCTTGAGTGGTCTCCCTTCCTCAAAATGTCGAAAAACAATTGACCTGCAGCAAACAACCTACTCAAATTTTAGCACGACTAGGAATGTCGGTTTTGTCAGACATGGAGAAATATCATAATTCTTTACAGGAAGCAACATCACTTCCATGTAATGAGTTAAAATGAGGCTGGTAAAATGGGGGAATAGAAAAAATGGGTCATTTTTGGCAACAAATTCCTTATCATTTGAAAAAGAATTATTTTTGTTTGCATGTTTGCTACACTGGTTGCGAAAACACTTCGAGTGGAAGGAAGACGCTGACACATATACATATATATATACAACTGAGACCTCTTTGTTTTAAATAGCACCATGGCACAACATATTGCACAAGAATTTCACACATTAAATTAACACGGTCGGCAATCCTAGCACACAAAGTCAAACCATCAAACATCTCAAACAGTTGCTCACAGAGCAAACCATTTCAGTCACATGATGTTTCCTTCAGCCAATCAAATGATTTCTCTTTTCATCCAATCAAATGCTTCCTTCTTCCAGCCAATCACATGATTTCTTCCAGCCAATCAAATGATTCCTTCTTTCCTCCAATCAAATGATTCCTTCTTCCAGCCAATCAAATGGTTCTTCTTCCAGGAAGTCACATGATTCCTTCTTCCAGCCAATCAAATGATTTCTTCTTCCAGCCAATCAAATCATACTTTCTGCAAGCCAATCATTTGATGTAATGTTTTGGCAGTCATATTGCATAATTTGATAATCAATCAATCACAATGGGTCTTTCTCTCAACCAATCATAACTTTCAGCAATTACTTGCAGTCAACCAATCAGAGCTAATAGACAGCATCTGGATTAGTATTTCATCCAATCACATTCCACGAAAGTTGACGTTTTCAGATCTGCCCAGATGAATGCCGAAAGGAAGTGTTAAACTTGCCACATCAGGAGTTTTCCCTCTTCATCCGAATCATCCTTGCTCTGAAATGGAGATAAAATTAGAAAATTTGTTCAAAAAAATAAACCAAAAATGTACTTCATTTTTTCTTTGCTGCTAGAATGTTTTAACTGCTTGTTAACTGTTTAACGCCGCACTCAGCAATATTCCAGCTATATGACAGCAGCCTACAAATAATCAGGTCAGGACTAGACAATCCAGTAACCAACATCATGAGCATCAATCTACGTAGTTGGGATACAATGACATGCATTAACGAAGTCTGACCACCAAATCCTGTGCGTTGCCTCTTTCGTCAAAGCATGGGTTGCTGACAAATTCTAACCTTGATGTTCTCGGGTCCCATTTTGTTAAGCCCCAAGCCAATACCAATTACTCCCCTTATACTGTATGCTGGCACTGTGTATTATGCCTTGCATACTTTCAATCCTTGAACATGCAATCTTTTTGTTTATAATTCAGTTGCCTAGCAACCTTTTCTCACCTCTGATTGCAGATCTTTGAATTTCTCCCTCAACTCTTCTTCCACCGCAGACCTGGAGTCTATAGCACTTGCACTACCTGGGAATAATATTAATAATAATGATAATAATAACTGAAATAATTACAATGATTGACTACTTTAATAATTCCCTACCAATCCCAATCATCGTTAAACCACTGCATAAATCAAAATCACTATAATTATCGTTCTCCAACATCCCTATAATTGTTATTCAAAATTGTTTCATTTCTATCACAATAATCCTAACAGAAGAGAACTTGATAACAGAAATACTGTTCAAAGCAGTCATTTTGTGTTCTCGATTACCGAACTCCATAACAATAATGCCAAACTAGTAGGCGACGACATTTTCAATATGGCTGCCAGGGGTCCTACCTGTCTTGACGTGTTTGATGGTAGCGAAGTCCCTGTAGGCGTCAGATTGGCTGCTCTGACGACTGAGTGATGACGTAGATATGACGGAGGGACGCGGGGAGTGTAGCGGTGAGCAGTAGATGGTGTGGACGCTGCTGCTCCGAGTCATCGGCGACCGCTGCACCAACTTCAACGTCGCTTCCTTCTCAGTCAGCTGTGTTTGCAATGACTTCACCCTGAAGGAGATATAGTGTGATCATGAATATAAATATAACATTCCAGGTCGTGACGTAAACATTTGAACCTGCTCTGAAACATTTCAAAGGATTCAACTCTATTTATTGCACTTCTTTGAAAAACACTCTGTTTTGCTCGGGAATCGCCACTCAGAGACAAGCATTGGTAACTAGGGAAGTGTTCTGCCCTGGAATGCCCACAGTGAGTGAGTGAGTGAGTGAGTGAGTGAGTGAGTGAGTGAGTGAGTGAGTGAGTGAGTGAGTGAGTGAGTATCGTTTTGCACAGCTTTTAGCAATAATCCAGCAACATCACTGTAGGGGACACCCGAAATGGGCTTCACACATAGTACCCATGTCGGGAATTGAACCCGGGCCTTTGGCATGATCATCAAACAATTTAACCACAAGGCTACCCAACCGCCCCGAGACAAGTAGCGCTACTGGGGACCTGTTTCGCCCTGGAATCACTACACAAAGAGAAGAGTGGGGTCCTGGAGACTTATTATGTTCTACCCCGGCATCCCAACGGACAATAACTTGGAGAAACTGGTGACATCGACTGTGACACTGACCTGGCCTCGAGTTCCGCTACTGTTCTGTTGGCCTGGTACAGCTCCTCCATGTGCTTCAGCTTCTCAGACTTGGCTTCGTCGATGAGCTTCTCTGTTTCTGCAGAATTCTTCTCCAAGGCTGCAAGTCGGATGTCTCTGAAAACAAAACAGAAATATTCAGTTAGAAATTATTAATGTATTAATTATAAATATTCATATATATATATATATATATATATATATATATATATATATATATATATGGGTCGTCTGTAAATAATCGACTCTTGACCAGTCAATCCAGTGATTCACATCATGAGCATCGATCCACACAATCACGATACGATGACACGCTTCAACCAAGTCAGTGAGTCTGACCACCCGATCCCATTAGTCCCCTCTTACAACAAGCATAGTCACCTTTTATGGCAAGCATGAATTGCTGAAGACCTATTCTAAACCGGATTCTCACGGGACAAATACTTAAGTAGAGAATTAAATTGTGCAAATGAAACCAAGGAACTATTGCCTCAATGTCAAAATCAATGTGTATTTTTGGGCAGTTATCTCCCCTGACAGTTACCTCCCTCTAACTATGTGAAGCCACTTCAAAGAAACAAAATGTGTATTTGACCCAAAAAATCATTCTGCCTCAAATAATAATCCCAGACAGTCTCCCGAATATTAATGGTCAGTCAACTCAATGGTGAGGTGAAATGGGGTTTAACGTCGCGTCCAAGATTATTGCACTTATATAGCGACGTGCATGTACGTGTGTGTGTTTGTGTGGCTGCTTGTACTAGTCCGGACTGATGCCGATTGATAGTGCTAGCTCACTGAGATACCATGCCGCAGTTTAACATGAATACCCCACTCAGACACAGTATACTCCGAGCCGACCAGTCTTTGTTTTAGCCCCTTAATGCAGAGCGCCAGACAGGGTAACAACAAGTACCATCTTTTAACGTCTTTCGGTATGACGCGGCCGGGAATGGAAACCCCGGACCTTCCGCTCTCTGGGCGTATGCTCTACCACTAGACCACGGAGGCGGTCTCAACTCAATGGCCCGATGGAGCTGGACTCACTTGGTGCCAGCACTGTCCTCTGCCATGAGCTGCCTCAGTGTGCTCTCCTCCAGGTAGCGCTGCTCCCACTTGGCGATGTCGGACTCCATCTCCAGGATCTTGGCCTCTTTCTCACTCAGCATCTGCTGCAGCATCATCACCGTCATGGTGTCGCTGTTTTGGCCTGGAATTCTCTTCCACCCCAACTGAAATAGATTGTGTTTTCAATTTGCAGATTTCCTAATAATACATGCAAAATGGCAGGAAATATGTTTCTCTCAAACTGAAATATGTTGTGTCCTTGATTATCAAGATTTAATAACAAGACATCAAAATGACATTTTCAATATGGCCGCCCGGGCGGCCATGTTGAATATATGACCAGAATCTTGTGAGTCCTGGATTTGCTGTTTCGGACAGAAGCTCTTTTCAACATCTATTGAATTTTTTGGTGAAGGAAAGAGGTGGTTGATTGAGTGAGAGAGGTTATCAGAAATACTGCACCAATAATATTTAGAAGGTGGAAGGAGTTCTCACATGAAGTCACATGACAGGTCTCATGAAAGAGGTCACCATGGAAGTGTACAGCAGTCAATCAAGTAAGTAATCAATTGACCCCCTTCAGTGGCACTGTGACTTCACTTGTCACAATTTGAGAGAGTAAGTGAATTTAAACTTAAACTTAAATTTTTTCGCAGCCTCCTCATGATGTGAGTGAGTGATTATGGTTTTACTCCGCTTTTACCAATATTCCAGCAATATCACTGCAGGAGATACCAGGAATGGGCTTCACAAACTCGAACCCGGGTCTTTGGCTTGACGAGGAAGTTTACGCTTTAACCACTAGGCTATCCCACCGCCCCCCTCATGATCTATGGCGCTGCGATTCGCTGTGCAGAGTTGCGTCCCTTGGGCACATCAGAAACCTATGATTGTGGGTTCAAATCCCGTTTCGCCCCGATTATGTTTCTAGGTTTGTCAGCACCATACCTGTGCTCGTGGGTTTCACTGAAGTGGTTAACGTCTGAAACCTGCATCACTTCAGGCTTTCCTCCCACATTAAGCTGACACGCCATGATATAACTGGAATACTGTTAAAAGCGGTGTTAAACCCAACTCACTCACTCATGATGAGGGAATCAAAGCCAGATCTCTACGTGGCAAAATAACACTGTAACCTATAGGCTACTCATATCGCACAACAAACAGTACAAGGTCAAAGGTTGGCCTGCCATCTTGTAAGGGTTCGTCCAAGACGGGCCGAACAGTTCACGGCAGGTATTGATTCCTTACCTTCTGCTGTGCCCGAAGCGAATCCAGTTCTTTCTCCAGTTTGGCACGGAGCTGTCTATCCATCTGTTCCCGCCTCTCGCTTGCCGACTGTAGCGACATGAGGGATTTCTGCATCTGCTCCATCTTGTCGAGGTGGCCCTGCTTGGTGGAACACTGAAGCCAAGAAGCAGTATTGTGTACACAGACATGTCAAGTCTTGTCTAGAAATCTTGTACTTCGAATTTCATTAACTATTTCTTTTCAAAACCTACTGTTTCATTTTTGTTGTTGTTTAAAAACGCACTCAGCAACACTGCAGATATAAATAAATTTAAGTTTCCGACTCTGATTTAGGGTCCAGGGTGCCATTGTACAAAGCGATCTTAGCACTGAGGTGATCGTAACTCCTTAACATAGACTTACGAAAGTCGTTACTAAGGTTGTTTTGTACCAGTTCTATTCAAGGATTTGGAAGACCAAAACCACAGAGCATATATACTGAACATGAATGCTTCAGCTCAGGCAATCTCAGAAATGAATTACAGCAACTTACCTCTTGACCAAGATGGACCAGTCGGGTGTTGGTTAAGGTCGAATCTAAAATATCCAGTTTCTTTTCCTGTCCTTGCCCTAAAACAAAATTGTAAATTTTCATTACAAGTTTCATATTTTCATGACAATTAAGTCCCCACTGTAACAGCTCCATGTTTCATCCTCCAAATCTATTAGAATCAAAATCAGAAAAAAAATAAAAACAAAAAAGTACAGAAAAGACATTTACAGTTCCCCATCCTGGGATTTGAACTACTTTAGTTCAGTTTGAACTCAAAATGAACCTTCAGTATTTCTTTACAGAGTTGTCTCCCCTTGTGCAGCAGCCATGACTCAATGTTGCTACCAAGCATTCAGGCATCTTATCTTACACCCGCCGAGAGCTTTGCACACGCTCGCTCGCTCACATATCTTGTGCATGACTCATCGGGGCTCTGATAGCACGGGCTTGTAGACAAACAGGTAAACTTGTGAATGTCTGCACTAACAACTTCAGGAAATACCGTATGAATCAGATGTCGCCCTAGGCATGAATTGTCACGTTTTAAATAAATCAAATAAAGATAGTATTTTTAATAAAAGTCTAATTTCTTTAAAGGAAAATACACATTGTTTTTAATATAAAAAAACATCTGGAAAGTTGACTAGGATGTCTAAATGCAACATTTAGTCACCGAAGTAATTTCTATCAGTTGAATAAATTCATTCATATTCCATGAAAAAAACCAAGATTTCATGCACCAAACATGTTGCTTTGACACAACTCAAGTATCAAGTTTCGTGTGCTGAGAAGCCATTTGAGGAAAACAAGACCTGCTCAAATCTCTGAAGATAAGATCGTGATAGTGCTCTACTATATCTAGGTAATTGGCGCCATAGAGTTGATAGGGAGAAGCTACGATTGCTGGAGACTCCCACACAATTTGTGTATCTTCACCAGAACCTTGCTGTGGCTCAAGTTACGCATCTCTCAAAATATAGGGCTTGTATGTTTATCATGTTTACACATGTATTTTAAGTGGTATTTTCGGTCCAGTTGAATCCAAGACCACAACAAACATACACTTTTCATGAGATAGTTATGGGAATATTGTAAACATGGTTTAGTTCTCAGTGTGGTAGGAAATATGCCCTTCATCAAATGGGCTGCATAAAGTGAGTCATCTTGTGGCTAAATTGTTTGTATGGTGTTTTCTGCTGTCGTCAGCAATATTCCAGCTGCTTGTAAATATACCACTCAAAAAAAGTTAAGGAACACCTCAATCATGTCAATTGGAAGGCTGTCAACCGAGACAGATTAACTATAGTCATGTGACAAAATCAGTTGATCTTTAACTTCTTTTGAGTAGTATAACTGACTCTGGGCCAGAAGTAGTGTTTCATATTATCAACAACCCTCCATGCCATTCGGATCCAATGGCACACAATCCACCAAGTGACAGAGCTTGCCTAGACTTGCACAAATCTCAATATGACAATACTTTATAGTTTAAATCATAATTTCTAGTTTATGTAAATAATAAGAACAAGTTGCCCCTGGAGACTGGAGTCTTCAGGCTGTTCACATATGCCCCTGCCTACGAGGTGAGTGTGAGTGAGTTTGATTTTACGCTGCTTTTAGCAATATTCCAGCAACATCACGGCCGGGGACACCAGAAAAGAGATTCACACATTGTACCCTTGTCGGGAATCGAACCCAGGTCTTCGGCGTGACGAGCGAACGCTTTAACCACAGGCTACCTGCCTGCCCCACACAAATCTCAATACAACAAAACTATTTAGTTTAAATCATAATTTCTGATTCATGTAAATAATAAGAACAAGTTGCCCATGTAAGCATGTATAAGAGACTGGAGTCCTCAGACTGTTTACATATGTAGACCTGCCTATTAGCAGGATAGAATTACTACACAACATGGGTAAGTACTCACTTTGAGCCAACAGTTTCCCCAGGTGGGCTTCCTTCTCATCTTCCGATCTCTGGAAAAACACATCAACATTAGATAGGGATAGTCTTAGGGAAATAGTATAATTAATCCATTACACACAAAACTGATTACTTACAAAAGAAATTAGAGATATTTTTAACACTAGACTCAGCAATATTATATGTGACAACACCTGTAAATAATTGATATTATGAGCAGCGGTCCACGTCTTCTTACCAGTTTTTTTTCAATGAATAAAAGATCAGTTAGTTACCTGATTTTGTGACTCTTTTAATGACGTCTCCATTTTTTCTGAAAAAGCATAAAATATATTCATTTATCAGCTTGATCAGCAAGTAACTTTTGTTTCACTTCATTTTCAGGAAATGTTGAGTAACCATGGTAACACAAATATCTTCTTTCTTAGTTTGTAAGACAAACAATAAAGACATAATGTTGGTCAAAACTAATCAGATCATGATTAAAGAAAACTTAACACAATATGTAACATCCTTAATCATGATAAACAAGAAATTGTTTCCATGACAACTGAGCATAATGGCCAGTAGATCAAAGCAACAAGGAAGTGTTTCATCACATGTACAAGTCAGTTCACACCAGGACCATAATTTTTTCAAAGACCTGAATTAAAAATTATGACAATCTTAAAAGACAGTCCCACATGATCACCGAGTTCTCACCTCGTATTTCAGTATTTTCTGCTCGGGCTTTCTTCAGCTCGTCTTCTAATCTTTTCTTTAACGTGGCTTCTAGCCGCTCACGCTTCTCGGACGACTTTACCAGAGACTCGTATGCTTCATGAACCTTCTCGATTTCAAATTCAAACTGAAACGAACAGCAATATACCTACATATTGATACCACATTAGCCTCAATGGGATATTGATGAGTGAGTGAGTGTGCTGGGTTTTATGCCAGATATACTGTAGCAGAATCCTCTCAGTTGCATTCTGGGATATCTCTTTGAGACCACAGATGTTTTTGGTCAGTGCTTCATCCATACAATCATTTTCTTTCAAAGGGGGAGTGGAACATTTATTATTATTTTCACAATAGCTTTTGGAAGACATATGTATATCAAGTGAACAATTCTCTTTGTAAACAACCTCAATATGTACCAATTGTTGATTTCTCTTAATTTATTGTGAATTCTTTTTTACCTTCTGTAATTTCGAAACTTTCTTGTAGTTTATTTCCAACTCATCTCGCAGCCGTCTATTTTCCTCCGACAGCATCTCGATCACCTGCGTTGTCCGCGCAGCGATGTTCAGGTGATCGACCTCCTCATTCTGAGCGTGGCTGCTGGACAGATTGCAAAAAAACATTTAATGACATACATTATTTTGTTTGCTGTTCAGATGCTCGCAGCAATATTCCAGTGATTTGATGGCTGTACAGACAAACCAGTGGGTGATATAATGAGCAACATCCCAAGCTGTCGGGATACCAGGACACGCTGTGACTCAACTCACCGAGCCCGACCACCCAATCAATATCACTACACCTACAGGTTGACAGAGACCCACATGGTGATAGAATGAAATACATGATCTTGCAATTTATTTTAATACATATTTCTGATGTTCATGGCATAATGATGTGCCAGCATCCTGAAGGAGGGGGTTGCTTGAGGTGTTCAGCGGAGTGACGCCGTCATTGGCACCAAGGTCAAAATAATAATTTGCAACATCATCAACAATTATAAAAGTGCATATGATGATGACCAAGAGACACTTGAAACATCTTTGGCAACCTTGGTTTTGGCTTTGACCAGAGCCAAAAAGCCACAATAAAATAGAAATTAAATAAATAATTTCAATATTATTTTTTTGCCCTTCAACTCCATCTCTAGTAATGCTGATGAATAAAAAAAATGAAAGAAACAAAAATATTTTGCGGCCATAAACATGATAAACATAATAAACAAGGAATTGTTTCCATGACAACTGATCATTAGGACCAGTCGATCAAAGCAAACAGGTAGTGTTTCATCACATGTACAATATAGTTCACAACAGGTCTGTCATTCTTTCAAGAACCTGAATTAAAAACTGAAAGACTTTGAGGACAAAATGTATATATCCTGGCTTCCATCAGTTAAAGGGGCGGTCAGGTAGCCTAGTGGTTAAAGCGTTCGCTCGTCACGCCGAAGACCTGGTTTCGATTCCCGACATGGGTACAATGTGTGAAGCCCATTTCTGGTGTCCCCCGCTGTGATATTGCTGGAATATTGCTAAAAGCGGCGTAAAATCATACTCACTCACTCAGTGAGTAGGATGTCCTTTTGAAAATTTTCAAAATTCATAACCAGTTTTAATTGAGAACCCACTTCATAAACAAATTTTTTTTATTTTTTTATTTTCTTCAATCTCATTAAAATCAGATCTTATTTCTTACTACCGCTAAACAAAGATCTGAGGACATCCCATTACGGGTCATGTCAGAATGACCTTTCATCTGACCAATCAGAGTATCGCTTATCAGGTCATTAAAGTGACAGTTGGACCTCGAAAAAAACACACAGGGTAATCCGAACGACAGTTATGGCCCATAACTTATGGGCTTTATGTTTGTATTCACACAATCTAGACGATCTATTAGCCATTCCAGAATGTTCTTTTGTTCAGTTTTTTATTTTTTAATCGATTAGATGTCAAAATATGTTTCGAAGTGTAGTCGCCAGTTTGAAACTTGTGCCGTAAAGCTCAATTAATCAGCCTTCTGATTGGCTATTGTCGACTTCTTGTCAGTCATTCTATTGGTCTGCCAAAGTTCGCGAAAGGTCGGTCTGACGTGACCCGTAATGGGATGTCCTCAGATCTTTGCTTTGCAGTAGCAAGAACTAAGATCTGATTTTAATGAGATTGTCTTTTCTTCTGCCTGTGGTGAAGCTGACATGGAAATGAAAACAAAACAAAATACATTTTAAAAAAATATGTAATCACAGAATAAGACATCTGAACAACGCTAAAACACTTACCTTAAACCTGCTGTGGAGAATTTGGGATCACTAGCATACACGGGCATGGCAACTTTGCTCTGAGAATCAGAGAGTCGTGACAGATCAGGCTGTGACCGTGTCAGTTCTATCTTATCCATGGTTTCACTTGACTTTCTGAGTTCCGTTTTCTCAGCTGTGTTTGGTGCTCTGGGTCCTGGGTATTCCGGCGGCGGGGGCAGGTTGGAGAGATACGATATCAACTGACTGCCCTGGTCTGTAGAAGACTGTGGACTCCATTGCGAATTTACATATTGAGGAATAGTCCTGTATGTCGAAATCAAATTTTGATTATATTCAACGCTTCTCGAAACAGTGACTGGCGACTGCGTTGTGGTGACCATTTGGGGGGACCACTGAGGAACGGTCAGTTGACCCTGGGCGTACACTGGCGAGGCCTCGCTGTGAACAGTGTATACTTTGCCCTGTGGAGGGCCGGTTATGAAATACGCAGGCACTGGGGTGGGTTTGAGTTCCACGGACGACGGAGTGGGCATCCCTAGGCGGGCCAGAATGCTGTAGTCACTGTCGGTGGGATTAAGATCCAGCTGATTGTACAAATTCTGGGTCTGAGTTTCCTCGCCTTGGGGCTCTTGGCGCTGTGAGGTCGCAAGGTTCTCGGTGGACGAAACAGAAACATCGGTGCTGGTCTCGCTGCCAGAAAAGCTCTGACGAAGACCTGGAATAATGTGAATATAGTTAGATAAACACAAAAAGGACAGAAGATAAGACATTTTTAGAAATTGATAATAGCTCACCTGGCTGGCGTTTTTTTAGTTGTTTCAAGTGTCCTGGAAAGATTGTGGAAGAAATAGATAATAGCTCACCTAGTTGCTGGTCATGTTATATCGAGTGCCCTCGATAGATAGTGTAAGAAATAGATAAATAGCTCACCTGGTTACTGGTCATGTTATATCGAGGGCCCTGGACAGATAGTGTAAGAAACAGATAATAGCTCACCTGGTTACTAGTTTTGTTATAATCGAATGCCCAGGATAGATTGTGGAAGAAACAGATAATAGCTCACCTGGTTGCTGGTTATAAAGTTGTTTCGAGTGCCCCGGGTAGGGAGGTGGTTCTCGGTACTGGTTTTGCATCGCGATCACCTCGTCATAGGTTGGTGCATAGTGGGACGTTAAGCCGCCAAGAGGGTAGTCTGAAGAACAAAGTATTTCCATCATCCCAAGCTCAAACACATAAACGTTGTCATGACAATATTGAACATCTTATTGTTGAGAGTTAAGCACATAATATTCTCAAATTCTGTATTCGCCTTATAAAGCGCCTTGCAGGGCAGATGAGGTACATATTTTATATTTTAACTACTATCAAAAATGTTTTTGGTTTAACTATGTTTTTACCAAGTTCTTCACCTTAACTTCATCTCTGAAAACATATTTAACTGTGTACAGTCTAAAAAGTTTTTAAACCACCCTGGGCGATTATTATGGTGAATGCAGTACATTAAGTCAAAATGATTACTGCATCTGGTACCAGTGGCTCTTTGGCTCATGATATCAACCACTAATTCTCTTGGTCCAAACTGATTTGTTTGTTTGTTTGTTGTTTAACGCTGCACTCAGCAGTATTCCAGCTATATGATGGCGGTCTGTAAATAATCAAGTCTGGACCAGACAATCCAGTGATTGACATCATGAGAATCGATCTATGCAATTTGGATCGATGACATGCATCAACCAAGTCAGCGAGACCTATTCTACCCCGGATCTTCACGGGTCCCCAGACTGATTATATGTGCCATCATATTACTGAAATATCACACCTACAGTATAAAACATCACTTACTCACTCACTGACTCTCACAGACAATAGTTAAGGTATACCTTAGTGTAGACTTGCACAAGTCTCTAAGGCAACAATTATTAGTTTTAATCACAAGTTTTAGATTATGTAAATAATAAAAACAAGTTGTCCCTATAAGAGACTGGAGTCCCATATCTAGACCTGCCTATTAGGAGGACAGAATTACTACACATCCATGGACTTTTCTTTCAGTGCAGCCTTGGAGCAAGGCTAACTTCAGTGATAAAAACTTCAATTCTATAAAATCTAACACTCACTTTTATCAAACAACATGTATATTTATCCATATTTCAGTCACAAACAATATTGGAGCTTCTGTCAACCATCAGTCACATGTAACTGAATTATCCATCAACAAATACATATTCATTTATGATTTTCCCAATCTCCATCCTCCGATCCCTATCTTAGAGGCAATTACCTGAAACAGGAGACTCACTGTTTGATCCTAGCATTCCTAGATAACAACTGGTAATACAACCCTTTCATAGGGAATAACAGTTATTATCGTCTCGTAGGTCACAGATATATATATGGATATTGACATTGTATCATTCTCTTACCTCCGTAGAAGTCTCCCATTAAATATCGACACTACATTAATAGAATCAGATAATCGGACGAAACAGGAACTGCAGTTATAGTAGGTAGTTATAACGAACCAACACGGAAAGGGGATTGTAACACGAGAACCACGAGAAACCACAGAACAGGAAGTGATGATGAGTTAGGTCAGCATGGAAATAAATGTACATATTTCATGGGACCATCCTGTCACCCGCCCGCGAGGCCACGACACTTTCCCTCCACAGAACGATTACAGCATGACACAAATTGTAGAAATAGGTAGGAATGTTCTCCAAATCACAAAGTGGATAAAATATGTCAACTTTTGATATGTAGACAGATATTGTGATGCTATTTACCTAGAAAAGTAAGTTTGTGTTTCATGAAATAACAGAAATATCTCCATAAAGAGTTGACCTGAGTACTTTCTAAAAAAGGTGTGTGTGGGAAGGGGAAGGTTATAAAAATTCTGAAACTTCAGAACAAGAAGTGATTTTAACAAGGAAAGGCTACTAGTCAAATAAACGAGACATCATAAGATTAATATGAAATTCTCCTAAGTCTCAGTATCCTCTTAAATTTATGAGAAATGCCTCAGGCAGAGTGCTTATAAATTTATCCAAAACTTTGAAACTTTACAAAAAAAGAACAGTTTTTGATCATCTTGGCTGAAATGTAGGAAACGATAGGCTTAAGTTTCCATAAGTTTATACACTTAATTTCATTCAGAATACAACATGTCCCTTTGTCTCATTATCTGTGTAGATGTGTCTCTATGGAAAAAAACAAAGTGCTTGTAAAAAGATAAACTTATAGAGTTTTAATAATTGAACATTAATTATTTTTATTTACTTTGAAGACAACCTATGTACAACAGAGAGATATTCATACAACGAGTATCGAGTCACAGGTAAGCCTTGTGACAAAGAGCAGGTGCCCCTCACGAAATTCCCCCTCTCAGACCGACACATGGACACCCTTTGTTACACACTAATACTCTTCCCAAATACCTGATAGAAACAAAACACTAACCTATACCACCTCAACATGTGATGAAAATGTTCAACTTGACATGGCCACACTTACCTAAATACATAGTACTCCACAGATAACATCCAGTGTGCAATCCCACTTGGAAATACTGCGCGTGTAAACACACTGGTTAAATTCCTCACTGATTTCCCCCCTCTACAAGGGAGTCATCTCTCAATGTCTCGGATTCCTGCCCACTCGACCACGACCTCAGTACACACCAGCTGCTCACACAGAGCCCAACAATGAGAAAAAAGGACCGTGGAATGCTAATACCTCGTGTTCGGCCAGCCGTGAAAATTCAGCCGCTTTCATAGCGGGGCTCATTACTGGCTGTAAACCTGGCTAGCATTGCCGGCATAGTTCCCTGAAGGAACGTGTGGGGAGACTCTTCACGATGGAGGGATTGGTTAATGTCTTCTGCTATAGCTCGCTGCCCTTACATCTAACCTAGTGAATTAAAAGCCGTAGGCTTAACTGACGCATTCCTGCCTGTCTGACGCTGTGCTTTTTACACATTTATCAGAAAGTGATTAATTGCCGGACAAAATTTTATAGCTTTTGGGTTCTATTTTTGATAGTGTATACCATGATATAGTGTGTGATACACAGATTTATAACATGGTTCAATTGATATATTATATCATGGATAAATAGAATACACCATGACATATTGTATGATATACACATTTATAACATGGCTCAATGGATACATTGTCATGGATAAATAGAATACACCATGACATATTGTATGATATACACATTTATAACATGGCTCAATGGACACATTGTGATGGATAAATAGAATACACCATGACATATTGTATGATATACACATTTATAACATGGCTCAATGGACACATTGTCAATGTCATGGATAGAAAGAATACATCATGATATACTGTATGATATACTGTAATGAATATATCTACACTTCTATAGCACATATCATATCATAATCATCTTCAGCATCATTCTGTAACCATGGTAACATATTTATACCTAGGAATAGAATAAAAATTTTATCATTCTTTTTAAATTGTCTAATATTTTATGGACATAAAAAGATAATACTTAAAACTATATGTCTAAAACAAATCTAGGAAATACAGCCATTTATATTTTGTGGATATACAATTAAATACTGTTGTGTCGAAGTTGAAGGACCTATGTAAATACTTTGTGTTATCCAAGGCTCTGACACAACCAAACATAATGACTAGAGATGGTATATGCAGGGACCAAGCTTTTACTTCAAGACAAACTTAAGTTTGACACTTCAAAGTTCTACTCATCGGTGTTTGACAGAATATTTATCAGGAAGATAACTTTATTTCTGGGTCTAAATGAAAGTCTAGTCAAAGGACTATATAATTGTCAATGTTTATGGCAGCAGACTATCTTAGTTCTAAATACTAATCAAATACAAGTTGACAACTGCTTTCAACTGATAGTAGATCATGAATTAAGTTATAGACCTGGGCCTTGTTCCTCAAAGCGATCTTAGTGCTACAATGATCGTAAGCCTATGTTAAAGTATAGGACTTACGATCATCTTAGCGCTAAGATTGCTTTGAGGAACGGGCCCCTGGGCCCACTTGCACAAAGTGATCTTAGCGCTAAGATGATCGTAACTCCCACACTTTAACATAAGCTTAAGATCGTCTTAGCGCTAAGATCGCTTTGTGCAAGTGGGCCCCGATTCACAGCACGACACGAAAACAGACACACATTTTCTTTCATACTTGAATAAGATTAAAATCTCCAAGATGGCTATCAGTCCTCAAGAAAGTTGTAAAGTTTATGAACAAATAAAACCCTAACGAGACATTTAACTGGTCAGGAGCACTTTGAACAATGAGATGGACACCAGATCTCCGATAGCCCGACACACGCAGACAAGATACTATCATTTCCAAGTCCTAGAGCTTCACAAGACAGGACAGAGACCTCGAGGCACTCCTCACCTAAATAAAAGTGGAATGCCATGCAGCCCCAGGCAAGAGGCAATGTGTCTGGCTGAAGGCAGGCTGATGATACAGGGCTATGTAAATGAGATACAATGTTCCTGAAATGGGTTTTTTATTACAGAGAGAATTTCAAAAGAAATACATGAGGGAAACAACTATTTGTAACCTATTTTAAGATTTCTCACATATTAATGTCGAGAGGATTACAAATTATTTACGTCAATGGTGTCATTAAGAGTAAAGTTTGGTCTTGATGGAAACTTATAAATAGGTTTCGGATAGAAATAACGGGAACAATTCTCTTTGAGAGCTGTGAGTGTATAGAGTTTGTTACTTTAATTCAAAAGTTCTCACAGTGAACCGGCGAAAGGCTGTTGTCAAACGTTCCATTTAATTTGGTGTAGAGATAGGTCTTCATGGAAATAACACAAAAGGATTGAACTTTAAATAATTAGGAAAATAATACTAAAAGGACATTTTTGTAATAAAATTATTCATAACTTTATAGAGATCTCACGACTAATATTGTGTGGTTGACAAATTTAGAGCAACTGTCTATCGGGCAATCAAATCAAAGAATACGTACAAGATACATTAACATATGTACATGACAAACAACTCATTTTCAAACAATTAACCTTACATATTTAGTTTTTAAAATGCAGACAGATCAACATGATGTACCCTGTAAAAAAAAGTGCAAAATTCTGAAAATTATTTCTGACATTTAAAGTTCATAAGCAGACTCGGGATTCCACGCCTCGCAACATGCAGATGTGTGCCGAGCCTCTTGACCCAATGTAACAGACAGAGACTAAACTACAACCATACCTGACAATCTCATAGTTAACATCCTGGCTGAACTGGAATGCAAATCTTCAAATGAAGCACCTCTTTAACAATAATCCACTGGCGAGAGTTATGAAGAGAACGTAGTACACTGAGCTGGTATATCCAAGTATATGTCAAAGAATGTCTCACGTTGTCTCAAATCTCTTTCACTTCTTACATTCAACAGCTCAGGTAATACAAAGTACATAACATATGGCACATTGTAAATTCCTTTGGTCTGTAACACACACGCAGTCAATAAAACGTTATCATCCAGTCATGGCATATACCAATATGATATATTAAGCAGGATTGCACGTTAACTTTTTATGCCATCGTTGTATATCAGACGTATCACACCCGTGTTCAACACAGCCCTTTCAATCGAAAACTGTAAGTTTCTTCATGGCTTTTGCTCATAAAGTGGTCCCTCTGTGCAAATATGCCTCTATTCATATAGGGCTTTGTCAAGGATATTACTCAGGTCATAAATGATTCAAAGCATCAGAATCACCCAAGTAGTTAATTGCAGACTGTCAATGGTGCATTTCAAGCCAAGAAAGAAACTTGTCTAAGCAACGCATGCTTGACATTCTTAGTTAGTATCAAGAGGCCCTCTCCTGACAATCAGCAGGAGTATTAGGTGTACTGGACTGCTTGTCGGAGGTTCTACGCGGAGGTTTGTGTGTTCAGTGACGAGGAACTCAGTAGACCTGTCCAAGGGAGAACTATGTGCAACGGCAAGAAAACACCATTCAGTGGGCTCACAGCCCTGTAAACAACAAATTCCAACATGTTCTCTCCACGTCACTCAGCTACATACCTAGAGTGACCGACTTATCCTGGGAAGATGGACGACTTTTCGCGACATTGTTTATGAGGTCATAATAAAGTTGATTAGCCGACCTCTGTTGTCTTAATAATTCCAAAATATTTTAGAGATGTTTTTATAGGAATAATTGTCATTGAGAACATCTGGCACATAGCTTATTTTCTTGTCGATACTTATTTTTTATTTTTTTTGTTACAATCTGTATTTGAGGTTCCTCTGTTCTAATTGCGACACAAATCTTAAAACTGTGTGATTAAACTTCTTCTATTATTGATTAATGAAAAGTATCATTCTAAAAACCTAAAAATATTCCAGCTGCACTTTAAAGAAACTACGGGTATGAGTTAGTTGGTTTTAAACCAGGGGGAATATTTGGTTATAATACAGCTTTCCAGCAAACTACGCTTGTTGTAACTTCTTTGATAGGCATTTAGATGTTGGACTACTAAGTAAGGATAAGAATTTATGGATGAACAACTTTTTTATTACAGTTAAGAGCGAGGTTTCGGTGTAGGTTCTAACACCGTTATCAAGCAACTGAACTTGATATCACTGTCTTGATAATGGTGTTAGAACCTACACCGAAACATTGCTCTTAATCGTAATAAAGAAGTTGTTCATCCATATATCTTATCCTTACTTATGCTTGTTGTAAGAAGCAGCTAAATGGATGGATCAGGTGGTCAGGCTTGCTGACTTGGTTGATGCATATCATCATATCCCAGTTGCGTGGTTCGATGCTCATGATATCGATCACTGGACTGGTCCAGACACAATTATTTACAGGCAGCCGTCATAATAGCTGAATATTTCTTAGTGCGGCGTTAAACACCAACTAGCATGAATTTCGAAGGTTGAGTGGCCATGTCTATCCCTCGTTTGACGCAGCTTTGAACAGTATTTGAGCTCTTTCACAATGTGTCAGCCTCATGTTCAATGAGGAGAATGTTGATCCTAGCGGCCTGCCAGACAGCATGTACTTGCTACTTCAGCAGATATAACCTAATCACATTTTCAAAGCAACAAACAAACATTAAAACACAACTTTACACCTGTCTAACCATTTCCTTTGTTGTACATTCAAGTTGCTTACAATGCAATATTTGCAAACATCTTTTTGCCAACACAGAAGCATTTTTGTCTTCCTTAGGACATGTAGGCTAATAATAATCCCGATTACTGATTTTCTTATACATTATTTACGTTAAAATGCTGGAGAAGGGACGAGTCCTGGACAGTGGTGAATAGGTCAAGTACAAAGAGTGAGTGAGTGAGTGAGTGAGTGAGTGAGTGAGTGAGTGAGTGAGTGAGTGAGTGAGTGAGTGAGTGAGTGAGTGAGTGAGTGAGTGAGTGAGTGAGTGAGTGAGTGAGCAATCAATATTCCAGCAATATCACAACGGGGGACACCAAAAAGGGGCTTCACACATTGTTATCATCAATTGTAAAGGGGGAAGTTTTATAAAGATGAATAACTAAAGCATGATAAGAATTTAGGTTGCCATGGTTACACAATTTTTGTGAAAATAGTGCTGCTGATAGCAACTCTACTTGTTTTAATTTTTCAAAAGATATACTTTTATAAGCATGATAAGTGACTAATTAAAGTTGAATGATGTTTAGGACAGTTTAATGGTTATCAGGACAGTGTATATCCTGAAATTTTCTATTGCAATATGTATTGTGATACGTATTACAATATCAGAGCTATAGATAAGCTGTGTATTTGCGTAAAATACCCCCCAAAAAATATTCAAAACCTAATTACTTTCAATTATCTTGCATACAGAAATGCATGCACGCAGTGAAAAACTCAGACGTATAAAAACAGCATGTGTAAATACCCAATGAAGCTTTTTCAGCATGCCGCTTTCGTACAACAGAGCTTATTTCAGAAACACAATTATGAGCTAATTTTCTTTCTGAGTCAAGCCTATATATTTAGAACCGTTATATACATCTAAAACATTGTTTCTTTTTTTTTTAAATCTTAAAATGTTCACTTATTTTGGGAAAACCCAATAGAGTGATGAGTGAGTAGTGAGTAAGTATGGTTTTACGCCGCTTTTAGCAATATTCCAGCAATATTCCAGCAATATCACGGCGGGGGACACCAGAAATGGGCTTCACACAATGTACCCATGTCGGGAATCGAACCCGGGTCTTCGGCGTGACGAGCGAACGCTTTAACCACTAGGCTACCCGACCGCCCCCAATAAAGTGATGAATGGATGAGTGAAAAAATATTGGTTACCCAATGAAAAATGTGATAACCCAATTAAAATAGAAAGCCAAGAGTAAAACCTCAACTGCTCAAAAAGTTATCTGGAGCTCTGAACATATTGCCATTAATGTTTCTATGAAATATGAAGCTCGAAGATATAAACAATGAGATATTGTTGACCGTGCTGCTCACCCGCCAAATCTGCAACACATCCTGATCATTGCTCAGACACCACCAGGGTTCTGCGTGATGCAGAAATGTGCATCCAGCATGTCTAGCATGCACAAATGTATAGAATGGACCAAGAAAAAAAGTATAGTGCATCCTGAAGGGTGCACAAAAATATTCATTGTACCAAATTCTTGACAAGAAATATAAATTCCCTGTAATTAAAGAAGTTATCAAACCTTACAGAACAGTGAGTGAGTGAGTGAGTTGGGTTTAACGCCGCTTTTAACAGTATTCCAGTTATATCACGGCGTGTCAGCTTAATGTGGGAGGAAAGCCCGAAGTGATGCAGGTCTTAGACATTTACCACTTCAGTGAAACCCACGAGCACGGGTATGGTGCTGACAAACTTAGAAACATAATCGGGGCGAACCGGGATTCAAACCCACAATCATAGGTTTCTGGCGTGCCCAAGGTACCCAACTCTGCCCAGCGAAATGCGGCACCTTAGACGACTGGGCCACCCGTGCCCCCCCTTACAGAACAGTACACTATACCATTTCATTACTTTACAGGACCCTCATATTTTCTGTAAGGACCTTCGAAATTAGTAATTGGGGTTCCTCAGGACCCTAGTTTTGAAATGGTGTCCACCATTTGTAGTTGAAAGTGTTTCAGTTTCAGAGTAACTCCAGCATTCAAAATAAATGCATGAAAGTCAATAAATCCATGTCATAATGATAATCCTGTTATAAATATCTAAACCTTTATGGCGTTCCTTGATCAAATACTATAGCAGAACATCTCACTACCCAAGGACTTCAAACAATAAACTCACACATTGTTTGTAAATTAACAAGCACAACAATTGAAACACTTCAAGTTAAACACAGACATGAGAATAAGTTCCGTATTTACCGGTTAAGCTGTGGATAACTTCAGATATGCACACAACACGTTACCACCAACAACAATAACACATTGTTAAGCCGACCAGTCGGCCAACTGCTAATGACACCAGACTGATTATATCCCAACAGCAGTCCAACTAGCAGGGGTGCACCCAAATTAGAAAATTACATCTGTAGCTGAGCGTGTTCACAGCTAGCCCCAAACACAGAGGAACATACGCCGCCATTAACTATTTAAGTCCCAGTCATGTCAAATTTCAAAATCGGCTTCAAAACATGCCATCAAGGTCGAACGGACACAAAAATGTGATAATTTGTCCTGGCAAACATGTCCCACATCACACAATATGTAGTCCAGCTGTGATGTGTATTTTCACATTCTTGGGACATATAATTTAATACCTCATTATTTCTCTATAAAACAAAGATTTTGTTTCCCAGGAGTTTCGAAAAAATTTCATCCCTCTAATCAAGAAATGTTGCATGTTAAAATGATGCAGCGGGATATTAGTGAAATTATGTTTTATCTCTAAATTTGAAAATGTACATGACAGAATACATTTTTCTTTTATTACGAAATATTCTGCACAAAACTGCACCAAATTGTTTCTAACAAGGAAAACAAATGGCATCATTTGGTTGAAATTTAGTTGTGGTAACTGCATCTCTGTGCTTTTAACAATTTTGACTTGTCGCTACACATCTGTTAGGAAAAAATGGCTGTTCCATTGTGAAATCCCAACAGATCTACGATCCAAATCTGCATCGCACTTATACTTGAGCAAAGTGCATGCACCTTAATCTAACGACAAATGCAACGTGATTCACTTCCTATGATACTTGCCTTCACCATTGTTAAAAAACAAGTACTTACCGTATTCGACGTAATAAGCGCCCTGGGCGCTCTCAACATTAGAAATAGGGGGCTCTTATTAGAATATCATTTTGGTGAAAAAAACAGAGTTGAAAGATAAATTTCATGGTTTATGCTGACAGCCTGAAATGTTTATGTATTTTTCCAGAATTTAATTGCCCATTATTAAGGGTGCATATAACACACGAGTGCGTATTATACGTGAATAAATAAGTCTTGTGTACATTGATCAATTGTGCTAATTGGGATTGTTCACTAGCCAATATAATAGCAAATATCGCTGTGGGCCCTTATTACGTCGAATACGGTATATTTTATATTTTTACTTATCGAGTTGAAAACCGAACTGGAAACAATTTTGGTCGGCAATTGCACACAGTGAAGTACATAGAAAGTTGGACGATCGAAAATATAAGTACCCATATTAGAAGGCAAGTGTTTTGGGAAGCGGATCGTATTGAAGTTTTTGAAGGATTACGATTCATGCACTTTAACCACTAGGCTACCCAACTGCCCCTCAGTGCACTGGACATCACCATGACTGTCTACATGTTGTTTAACGCCGCACTCAACAATATTCCAGCTAAATGAAGGCGGGCTGTAAATAATCGAGTCTGGACCAGACAATCCAGTGATTGACATCATGAGCATTGATCCATGCAATTGGGATAC